TTATTACAACTTTTAATAAGGAAAACGGTTTTTATTATATTTTATACGTTTGACATACGCAAACGAAATACTGAAAAATTGATTATCAAAAATAGTTCATGATGTCTAAGTTTGAACTTATTAATAGATAATCCAAACAGAAAATATCATGTTACTACTGTCTGAAAAGAAAAATAAAAAAAATAGAAAATATCATGTTACTACTGTCTGAAAAGAGATAATAAAAAAAAATAGAATAATAGTTGGATTAGTATTTGATGTTTTTATTATTTTCAGTGTTTGAGTCTTTAAAACCATGAAGCTTTTTTCAACTAGAGAAAACAAAACATTGTTTATATAGACGGCGGGTGAATAATGTTTTTATGTTGTGTTCTATAGATATGAATTAGAAAATCTCTTTCGTAAGTTTGTCAAATTATGAATAGTATATCAAATAAATAGTTGTTCAAATATAACCCTGCAGTAGCGTTTTAAACAATTAGAGAGTGTTTAAGAAATAAAAAAAAAATTGGATAAATATTTATTTTGTAAAAATTAAATCTCGAAAGGAAAAGTATGGAAAATACGGGTATTCCATCTAAATCGCTTACCCATTCTCATATCTATTGAACTAAATTAAACATTCCCAGATAGGTAATTATTTTAAAGGAAACAGTTATGTGATGGGATATATATATTATCAAAACAACAAAATAATCTATATTGAATTAAATTTTATTAGAACACATTTTTTAAAATATGAAACTAGGATCGGACCCGCGGTCCACCGCGGGAGAATATTGGTTTACATACGTTGCGTTTAATATTGTGTGTGTTTTTTAGTAGAACGAATCGTGTAGTATACTTATAAGTATTCATAATAACGAATTGTAGAGAAAATGTAAAATTGTTTATAAATATATCCATCATATTAATTATGATTTACAAAATAGAATTTTGTGTTTTAAAATTCTAAAATTAGACGATTCATGGGAATTAGAGCAGTCAAAATAGGTCAAAAATCGCGGGTCGAGCCCACATCATCTCACTATAGGGCAGATTTGGGAAAATATATTAAACCCGCAAATAAGCGGGCCACATGGATTAATTCGCAGTGGGTCATAGGTTTAATCGGTTTTCATCCGCGGGTTGGCGGATCAGCCCGCATATTAGTATTTATTGATAAAATTATAATTTATTCAACATGTGGTAATTTAAACAAACTTTTAATAGTATTTTTATTTATTTTTATTTTAGTAGTATTTTAAATTTTGGTTACTTTAAAATTATTTAAACAAAATCCATGGACAATCCCGCAAATCCGCATACATTTGCGGGACGGGTTTGTATTTCATATATGCTACCCGCAGGTCGTGCGGACCGACTAACACAAGTCAAAATATTTTTTGTCTATCGCAAAACGGACTTAACGGGACGAATCAACTCGCTTTGACAGTTCTAATGGGAATATTATTTAGTCATACAACAAAATGAAGTTTGGACATAGTAATAATAGAATATGTATCTTATTTGTTAGATGAGAGATTGAAAGATGAAGTATAATGATTAAAAATTAATTATTATTTTTCATGATTCACAAAAATTAATAAATACTTATCATCTTGTTGAATAATTCCAAAATCATATTCAAAAAATCTTTATAAATTGAAAATTAAACTTCTTTGGTAAGCTATAGGTATGAAAATATCATAATTTCGATTTAATCTAATTAAATTAAAATTAGTTACATGGATTTCATATCTATTTAATTTACACGACCAAAATAAAAATATCTATTTAATTTATATGACCAAAATAAAAATATCAATTTAATTTATAAAACAGATGGGTTATTTGTGATAAATTTTCTAGAAATCTTTAGAAACAAATAAAATATCTTTCAATTAATGATAATTGGCTAAAATGAGCGAAATTAATGACAAAAACGTTGATTGTTATGGAATTAGTCCCAAAAATATATGAACAAATTTATTATACGTAATTAATGTATAATATTGTTCGGAATATGCTTTTATTATTAGTTACCATAAGTACAATCAGATTTTATTTGATTTCCATAAATATTTGATTTTATTTCGATTTTTCATTTTTAATTCGAATTTATATTTAAAAAACATTTCAAAGATCCGATTTCAGAATTTCGGGTCATTTTTCTGATTTTAACCCGACCCATTTTCATTTGTACTTCTCTTTTAATAGTATAGAGATCTCGCACGTATGTGCGGGTCAGAATCTAGTTTTGACATTAAAGTGGCTGTACCATGTTGTTTTAGCATGAAATAGTTAATTTTTCAGAGTCATGAAATTATTCCGCTAAAAAGATAAAACTTGACTATTAAGGTTCTCAAACTGAGAATATAAAATTTTGTGATTTTATTTGTTAATTGTTTCTCATTTATGTATGTAAAAAATCAAATTATTGTAATAATAACTAAAATTCATTAATATTAGTTTGGAAAGTAATTTTGATCTATGTTGCATAGAAACTCCATCCCGTTATTCAGAAACAGAAATTTTTGGAATCGGAAAATTTTTCCACGGATGCTTTGCTAAAATATAAGGGTATACACTCTACAACAACAAACACTGCCAAAAAAATGTATGTTAAAACTTAAAACTACATAGTCTTGTTTTATTGCCAAATTCGTAGATTCACGAGACAATGAGGAAAGATAAGAAGCGGATCATGAGGAAGAAGACACGAACTACCGCTGTTCATCAGTCATCACCATCAACCACCGCCGTTCACCACAACCACAGCTACCGTGTGTCACCTGAGTTTGCGACCACCACCGATTGCTAGCCGCTGTCCCCGAAGCAGTCGTAGTCCATTGTCTAAGCCACTAAGGGTAAGGAAACCCTAGAGATATTTATGTAACTTGTGCATGAAGTTTCTGGCTTTATCTTATAATTTGTTGCTTTGAATTGATTTTAATTGTTGAGCCATGAGGAAGTAACCACCCTGAGTTTGAATCTCCTTGTTGAGCGGTCGAGGATATCCGCCGAGAGTAAACATCGAGAAAAGGTAATTGGCGCTGCACCTTGTCTCGTTTTGTTATTGTTGTGTTTGTTGATTATTGACCCAACACCTAAACCGATCTAAACCGATCTAAACCGGTACTGTGTAATTAAAGACTAGAACCGAAACTAGAAATCGTATTCACGTGAATGTGGTGTTAAGAGGTTACGTGGTGGCTACTGAGTTATTAGATTGGGTTGGTTGAATCTCTGAACCGGATGTTAAGGTGGTAACGTATTATGGTCACGTGTGGAATTGTGGTGTTGTACGATTGTGATGAATTGGGATTATTGAACCGGAACATTGTGAACTTGGATTATTTATGGTATTATTAAATTATTAGATATTTTGGTTGATTTAATTACTTAACCAAGTCTGATTAATTTAATTGGAATTATACCAAATCAAATTAATCGAGACTAGAATTTTGGTTTGGATTATTAGATTAAATCAGAGATTATTAAAGGGATTTAGTCTCTGATTGATTAATTTAAGCCGTTGCAGATTGAGATCGTTGTTGAAGCGGGTTCTTGTTGTTGGCAGTCTTAAACCAATGAATTCAATCGTTAGGCTAAGGTGAAAATGGTATTTGCAGATATGTAGTAATCTTTTTCCTTATATACTCTTTGATAGGCTCGAGAATTGTTTTTGTTGATTTATGTGAATTTGTGTGTATGATAAAGTTAGGTCGTTAGTAACATGATATGTGAAATGCATTAGTGACATGATTTGATATCATGTTTAACGTATATTAAATTATAAAAAATGATTATGTATATGTATATGAGAAAAGAAAACTAAAGAATATGAGAAGGATACTTGGAGAGGTTGGATTGTAATGGACCGACGAGTTCATATACATGACATTAACCGCTGACGAGCAACAAGGGGAAGGATCGTGTTACGGGCCATGGTCTTTCATAAGTAGGTTTGAGTAACCATAAAAATATCCACTCTACAGAGATTAGTCCTAGACCCTTTTATTCGCCTAGAGATTTACTCTGAGCTATAACAAAAAAAACAATTGAATCAAAACAAAAAGTTTTCATTCTTGTTTTTCACTTCATTCAAATTTAATTACGTATAAAAAAACATGAAAAGTAGTTCAACAATGACAAAATCAAATAAGAAGCAATTCGAGGGAATACTCTGAAAATATTGATGTATGGACAAAATTAATAATAGTTCAATTTGATTTGAGAGGACCTGAGCATCTCCAATGGGGGGTTTTAGTGGATTTAGGATGGGGTTCTCTGATTTTATGTGAATTAAAAGAAATCAAAATACATAATTATCATGAGCAGGGGCGGATCTAGGTGCAAGCCTACATGGGCACGTGCCCCACACTACTATTAAAAATTTTCTGGTTTTAGTTATAATTATTCGATTGTTACATGGCAAAATCAGACTAATTTTCTCTCGTGCCTTAGGCTAAATAAACTTTTGATTCACTTCCTATCTTCTTTCTTATTGTTCGTTTCTTTTACTTCATGTAATTTTACTTTTTAACTTTGCACTAAACGCTTATTTCCTTTCAACAAAACTTTTTGTTTCCTTTTCTATAATACCATTATCCCACCATCAATACTAATTGTATATTTATTTCCCTAAATTTAGTCTTCTTTTCTTTTCTTAATGGCTATATATGTGCAAGTAAAAATTTATACAAAATAGTCATTCTTATAATTTAAAAATAAAATTCAAAATCAATACAAAATTTACAAAAAATTAGTACATGTAACATTTTTAGCAATGTTATAGTACATATTTTATTTATACATAATTTATAAGTAAATAATGGTGCCCCATATAGAAAGAAGTTCTAGATCCGCCACTGATCATGAGAACTAGCTCTCTTGAAAGAGTTTTGGGAACCAGCTCTCTTGAAAGTAAGATTGATTAGCTAAGAGTTCTAAATTTAATGTTGGTTCCTTCGAACCGAGAGACGCTTATGTGTCATGCCTTGATTGGCCGATGATTTTTAACAAAACAAGAAAAAAAAAACACGCTTGTCCATCTCTCTTCTTCGCTGACGATGGCTATCAAGCAACAGAGATTTCTCCGATTCCGTTGTTTGGGAGTAAAATTAGTGTGAAATTGTGGTTTCTCCGATCCCGTTGTTTCTCTGATTTCTCTGGTTTAAGTGTGAAAGTGAAGAACCCTAAAAATCATTGCTTTATTAAAAAATTTGAAACGCATCGATGGATTCGGCGTTTGTGGACAGAGCTTGGGACGAATGGGATACTACGGGTAACATCGGTTCTTCCGGTAAGTTCTCCGATTTACGTTTATCTCTCGATTAGGTTTTTGTTTTCTTCTTCTTGTTTGGGAAGATTTTGAAAAGAAGAAGAACCCAGAAAAAAAAAAAAAAAAGAATTCTTTTTGGTGATTTGATTGTTAAAATTTGTTCATACAATCCATTAAAGGCTGCTATTTTGATTAACTATGATCCTACAAGACATTCTCGTCTCTTATCAACAATGTAAGCTAATTCATAAACTTTGATGTATGCTTCTATATATGATTTAGATAAGAGTTCTTGAGGCTTAATTTTGAATTTGCAAACATAATAACATCGATTCATGAGAATTGGTTAGTTGCTCGGTGTTTAAAAACTTCCTAGCCTGCTGGTGAAGGAGCTATTGTTATGCAGACTTCGGCTTACGTGTTGGTGAGTTTGTTCTAAGTCTCTCATATCTCAAATGCTTTCTAATGATTTACAAAAAACAAATGCAAATTCTAGCACCAAAACAGATAAATGCAGAGAATCTGTTCACATGATCAAGGTCTATAAAACATTAAAACAACACTTTAACATATCTTACGGTGATTTCATTTTTTGTTCTCTTTTATAACAGACCGAGAAGCTGAAACAAGAGGAAAAGAAAACAAAGAAGCTGCAGGACAATGTGCAGTCTTTACAGCTACGCCTCACTCCTAGAGAACACATATGCAGAGGACTTCAAGATAAGGTAATCCACTTTAACTAACGGATTCAATATGTTGACTGCTTGTCTTCTTCTAACAGTTAAAAGAAAATCAAATCATGTTTCAACTAGCAGAAGCCTTGTTCAAAAAATCGCTAGACGTTAATCGGGCGGTGGAGGTGGGCCTAGCGCCTAGCCAATTATTCGGGATTTAATCGGGGATTAATCGGGGATTAATTTTAATATTATATTATTTATTTAATATAAAAACAAAATATATAATGTTATATTACAAATAATTACATGGAAATGATGTATTATCATAAATTTTTATTTGAAGGATCTAAATCATATGTTTACTTGATATTTAAATTAATTAGAAATCTAATTGATATTTTCTTAATATAAGTTATTTGATGTTTAATTACTTGATATTTAATTCGGATAAATCTGGCAAGCTTGATTAGTTGTCATGGGAATAAATGCGCCTACAATTAATTCCGAATTTAATTGATATTTTTAAAAAAGTTATTAAGTCCTACCCAAAACATGAACATCCCACATCGAAACTTTGAGAAGAAGTAGTTGGTGATGTTTCCTTATAAATAGTTTGCTCTCGTCTTTAAAATAATTAGTTAAAGTGGGCTCAGTAATTTACAGCCCATCCCATCTTTTGTCTGGGCCGAAATTAGTTTGAATTTTTACAATAATTCGGCGATTTCAACGCCCAAGTCATTTAATCGGCCGAAAAATCAGTTCGACGATTAATGTGTCCGACTTGGACAAAATCGTGGCGGTATGCCTCCGCCGAGCGCCTAGTCGGCCGATTAATCGGCTAGGTGCCCGATTTTTTGAACAGGGAGCAGAAGAAAGAAAGACCATAATCAAGCAGGAGACACGAACTAGGATGAGCTTTTGTCTTGGATTGGAAAGACAAGTACTTCAGCTCCTGCTACATTTTTTTCTTTTTGTAACCAAACAAAAATATATGTATTATTTTGCAAATTTTAAATTTTTTCTTAAGAACCCAACCATTGGAGGAGACAAAATTTAAACAACTCTTATTCAAGTTTTTAAGTTTGATAAAAGCAAAATTTATTCTTAAAAAATGGTGAGAACCTCTCATGTGGTTCTCACCATTGGAGATGCTCTGGCAGCCATATTCAAGAAGCAGGCCTTGTGATAATTCCATATTTGACGAGATCATAGTCATGCAAGAAATCATGAACGTAAGAAATACCTTGTTAGGATTTTCCTAATTAATAATGCAGCTTTAGCTTGCTAATTCCTACTCTGACATGCAAAATATATCCTTGTTTTTAATTCTTTTTGGCAAGGTTTCTCCTCTTGGCTGGTTAAGCCATTTTTTTGTAACTTGTTACAAACTCTTTCGTTTCTTAATGATAATTTACATGATTTTCAAAAAAAAAAAAAGAACCCTTGTTAAGCCGTTTTGGTATATATAGTACTTGTATTTTTCTACAAACTCAAATATGAAGAAATTTACATTCATATACAAAAACGAGTTTACAGTTTTAAACAATATTGGATGTTGAATATAGATGTTGTATATGGTTTCTAAATTTAGAAACGAAGGAGCTCTTAGACTTATTTCAGTCGCCATTCAATGTCTTTTTTTATGATATGTCATATTTTGCGTAATTTAACCAACCTCATTCAAGAAGTAGTTTTGATTATTCCATAACCGCTGCAAGAAGCAAGTAATGATATATAACCATTGAATTATCTGTCTTGAAGACTTTTTTTACTTAACAAGTCAAGATGGCTTTGTTTTATGGGTAAATTGCATGGCAGGGCATAAGACCAAGTTTTAATTTCATGTTTTGGCAAAGTGAGAATTGGCTTTCAAGTTTTGACAATTTAGCCAAAATCTGACCATTTTACCCCTACCAACGGACCGATGTACTGTTCACTGTACGGTTCAGTTAAGCGGTTCAGTTACGTACACTGTTCCGGTTAAGCAATATATTTCGTTCTTAATTGATTTGTGCGGGAGTACAGTGACAAATTGGGATTAATAACATTAAAAAACAATGAGACATCAGTATTTAATGCCCAAAAAGTTTAGACATGACTCATGTCACAATTAATGCAAAATTCATCATTACTTTTTATAATATTAGTTTATATGTGTGAATAGTTATAAGAGACAAACATGATCCATCAAACAAACAAATTATTCTGAACGAATGTGATTCTGCATCGGTTTGATCTTCTTGATTTACAAAGTTTGGAGCCAAGACAAGCATTGAACGTGTAAGTAATGAAATTGGTTAAGAAGTTTTTTGTTTTAACACACTAGGGTCTTGATTGTGTTCTAAGATCAACATTGTTTTTATATAAAAACCCAGAATATTTTTATTTCCACTTTTTTTAGTTGAAATTGCTAAATGAGGATAGATTTATGTTTATAAGTGTGTAGTTGGGAATTCTTTTTGTTTTTTGTAGATATAATCATGCTTCATTTGCATTTAATGGGGTTCTGCTGAATTTATGATGCAGGTGGGTAATGGATATTCCCGTATTTACTATGGTGGGTGAGTGGAAATGCAAAGAAGAAGAATGGAAATTTGAACCATGGGAAGGCTGGTTTGGTTGTTGTGTACGTGTTAGGCAAAACATGACGTACACGGCATTTGTACGTACATTATGCGAGGTTTTCAGTTTGAAGTCCACCAAATGCAATCCAATAATTAGTTACTGGATGCCGGGAAAGATGTCAGTGATGATAGAAAGTAAACGCCCTCCTGTCTACATTGACAATCAAATGAGCTTGGATACCTTCTTTTTGATTCGTGGTGGGGATCCTAGTGTCACCTTGTTTGTCTCTTTCATTACAACCGTCAAGGCACTCGGGAATACTGTCCCTAGGACCGATGGTGAGAGTTACCGTGTGTGTGGGAGTGCAACGACACCAAATCCCATCGTAGCGGCTTCAAATGTAGATGGAAATAATGAGGCCGTAGATGAGCAAGACGACGTTGAAGACGATAAAACAGATGAGGATGAAGAAGAGGAGGAGGACAACAAAGATGGTGCTGGGTATGATGATTATCAGGGTGATGATGGATCTATGGGGGGAAGTACCCTCGATCCTACTATAGACGGTAGTGAAGGCAGTGGCGAAGATTACGATTACAACAAGTGGAACGATGTAATTATTGAAGAATATGGAATAGGGAATGTTGAGGAGGACGTCATTCTCACTCAACAAACGGTTCAACATCCAGGGGAATTCAGTCGTCTATTGGCAGAGTGTACGTACACAAGTCATCGTGTACGTGGGGGAGATAACTCGGTTGACCGTACACCATCGGTGACTCCAAGACGTACGTGTCAACATGGTTTGTACCAATGTACGTACACAACATAATGTGTACAAGATACAGGCTGCGAAGGTAACACCGATACCAATATTAATGGTATAAACAAAGTCTCTAGGGATGATGTTATCGACCGTGGTATTGGAGCTTCCCCAAGTGGGACACTAAATGATAATCGGCTACTTACTGCACCTGGCGGAGATAACATTTCTCATTCGGGTGACCGTACACCAACCGTGACTCCAAGACGTACGTGTCAACATGGTTTGTACCAATGTACGTACACTACAGAGTGTGTACAAGATACAGGCTGCGAAGGTAACACGGATAACAATATTAATGGTATATACGAAGTCACTATCGACCGTGGTATTGGAGCTTCCGCAAGTGGGGCACTGAATGATAATTGGTTAGTTACCGCAGCTGAGGCTTACGAAGTGTATAATGACTTTTCTACATTACATGGTGGCGAGTTGGAGATTCTCGATAATGATGCTGCTCCGGTATTCGATGATTTAGCCAATTTACGAGATGATGAGACACAAGTCGAACTGAGTACGACAGGTGAGACTTTGTATGTTGGGAGTGTTTTTAAGAACAGAAAAGTCATACAACAAACAATGTCTTATCTCGCAATCAAAAAATGCTTTTGCTACAAGCAACGTAGGTCATGACCTACAAGATTGGAGATGGTCTGCGTTGATTATACTTGTCCATGGCATTTGACAGCTCAAGATGTCAAGAATTCAGAATGTTTCAAAATCACATCGTATGATACCACCCATACGTGTGACATCGACACTCGTAAGAATTATAATAAACATGCTAGTTATAAGCTTCTCGGAGAGGTAGTGAAGAGCAGATACAGTTCTACGCAAGGGGGTCCGAGAGCTGTCGATTTACCACAGTTGCTCCTAAATGATCTCAATGTTCGGATTTCATATTCTACCGCTTGGAGAGCTAAAGAGGTTGCAGTGGAAAATGTAAGGGGGGATGATATAAAAAGTTACAGGTTTTTGCCTACCTATTTGTATCTTCTTAAATTAGCTAATCCGGGTACGATAACTCACCTACACTCTACACCTGAAGCTGATGGTACGCAGCGCTTTAAGTATGTTTTTGTATCTCTCGGGGCTTCTATAAAAGGTCTGAAGTATATGAGGAAGGTAATTGTCGTAGATGGAACGCAGCTAGTAGGACGTTACAAGGGATGTCTCCTCATTGCATGTGCCCAAGACGGGAACTTCCAAATATTTCCAATAGCGTTTGGTGTTGTGGATGGTGAGACTGACGCTTCATGGGTGTGGTTCTTTGAAAAATTAGCTGACATTGTTCCAGACAGTGAAGATTTAATGATTGTATCAGACAGACATTCTTCAATATATAAAGGCATCAGTGTGGTTTATCCGAAAGCTCATCATGGTGCATGTGCAGTACACCTTGAGCGAAATATCTCCACCTATTATGGTAAGTATGGTGTATCTGGATTATTCTTCAGCGCTGCTAAAGCTTAAAGAGTGAGAGATTTTGAAAAATACTTCGAACAATTAAGGGCTAAGAGTGCTGCATGCGCAAATTACTTAGAGGAAATTGGATTTGAGCATTGGACAAGAGCTCACTGTAAAGGGGAACGCTACAATATCATGTCTAGCAACAACTCGGAGTCTATGAATAATGTCTTAACAAGAGCCAAATCATATCCGATTGTGTACATGATAGAGTTCATTCGAGAGGTCCTAATGCGATGGTTCGCAGCGAGGAGGCAAAAAGTGGCTAGGTGTAAGTCTTTAGTGACGCCTGAGGTTGATGAGCGTTTTCTCTAAGATTTGCCTGCGTCAGGGAAATTCGCGGTTAAGATGTCTGGACCGTGGAGTTATCAAGTTACAAGCAAGTCAGGTGAGCATTTTCATGTCGTTCTGGACGAGTGTACGTGTACGTGTCTTAGGTACACAAAGTTGAGAATCCCATGTGAACACGGTCTAGCAGCTGCAATCGAGTTTGGAATAGATCCGAAGGTTGTTGTCGGATGGTGGTATGGCCTTCAAACGTTTTCCGATTCTTTTCAAGAACCGATTCTACCTATCGCGGATCCGAAGGATGTTGTCATCCCACAACATATATCGGATTTGATACTAATTCCTCCATACAGTAGACGACCACCAGGAAGACCAACAACCAAAAGGATTCCATCTAGAGGTGAAAACCGGGTAAGTGCTATCATTCAAACGTGTACAAATTTTTCAAATATCCCACAACATTATGTTTTGAGTATAAGATGCGTAGATTATTAACTTATTGTTGTTGTCACTTCAGAAAAAGAGACAGAAAAGACTTATTCCGAATCAGTGCACACGATGTAGACAAGCAGGTCATAACAAGAAGACTTGCAAAAATCCTATTTAGTTCTCCTCATAAGCTTTATGTCTCCGCGAAGATAGTGTACGTTTATGTGTGGACAGTGTGTACCAAAGTGTTGTGACGGTGTACGTACGTTTAATGTTTGCCATCGTATAACTATGTACGTTTTCTAAGTGTACGTTTTTGTTAATGTACGTTTTTGTTGTGTCTGTGTACGTATAATCTTAAACGGTTACACACATTTGTATCTCAACCGTTGGAACACTTTCGCACTACCCACTGCGTCCGTTACGAAATTTCCTTATTTAAGCCACATCTCCTCCTCAATTTTATCCACGTTCCTTCAAACGAAAACCCTTTCACATTCGGCAGTTACATCAATCAAACACAAAGTCTTTCGATTGTTCTTGCTAACCGTGTGATAGACGGGTATCACACCATCTCCGAATTGTGTCCTCAGATCACTGGGTGGACAATTTGTGTATTTGTCGTGAGAGTGTTTAAGAAGTTTGTTGCGCCCAACGTCTTTGAACTCGGCCTTATCTTGGCAGATAATTCGGTAGTTTCCCTATGCCGTGTTTGTGTTTTTTTATCATACGTCAGGTTCAATTCTATATAAATCTGTTATATTTCATATTCTGTAGGGATCCCATTCCCGTATCGAGGCCACCATTGATCGTCTCCTTGCTCCTTTTTACATAGACCGAATCAAAGAAAATGAGTGGAAAATTGTGACCACTTTCTTGGTCCGTAACGTCGCTGACCCAGTGAGAGCAACATCTCATGACTACGGCATATGGTTTATGGATCGGACCGTCGTTACTAACGCCTTACGAATGGACCCAATATCGTTTTACGATTTCACTCAATTCGACTACATTTTGGAGAAAACAGTTGATAAGAAAGTTTTAGTCGGTGAGATGTTTTTTAAGTTACGTTTTATGGACACATTTTTGAAATTAGAAGTTTATTTCTATTTTTTTGGCCCTTGATGTAGATGTCATTGGAGCGTTGTTGGAGGTTGGCCACTTGACCGGAGACTTCTACGGTCTCAAGCTTCCTTTGAAGATCAAAGATAGATAGTAAATGTTCTTTTGACATTTGATTCACTTACACTTTTTAATCTAAACGCTGACTTGATTCTTCTTTTACTCTAATGTAGCAACGAAGTTTTGGAATGCGAAGCACACAATGAACAGGCGTTGGAATTCCAAACCTTCTTTCGGAGTCTAGGTCAGCGCAATGTTGTTGTCGCACTCGTCTTCTGGCGTTTAACCGACAGAGCTAATCCGAAGGTTGTGAGTCATGGTCCTGTGTCAAAGGTCTTTGCTGATCCGGACACACCGGAAGTGGAAGAGATCAAGCATGTCGTTTTTTAGTTAGGGGGATTTGTTTTCCCCAGTCTTCTTATTATTAAAGACCAGATTTATATTAAGTATTGTAAAACTACATAAACTTGTTGTCGTTTTCTAATTACTTGACTTTGTATAATAAACTATTGGGTAATTGTACGTACATTTTATACGTACAACGTCTACAATTACAATTAATTTGCCAGTGTACGTTTTACTAGCTTTTTGGTTCTTCAATCAGCAAATTGTACGAAATCCGTGTACGTACACGAAAACATACATATATCATAATTGTTGTCCTCAAACAACAAAAACTTCATTCATTCATAATTAAGTGCCCGAAGAAGGACATACAATCAAGAAAGACAAACAACATATATTAGATGCGGAAGCAATAAACTAAAAAGTAGAGCCCGAAGCATACACATGAGCCGGAAAATTGTATGCCTCATCCGTCATTATCAAAGTCATATCTAATAGAAGACACACATCTCCCTCGCGTACCAGTAAAAGAAACACCCTCTACAGCCGGAACTGTACGTGCAAAGGCCAACACATGCCGGTGTGTGCACATACCTCCATGAACGTTGCCAGAGCCGAGGACCTTTGTTGTGAAGCTGGCTTATGTGATACATCACCAGCTCCCCCACTGCGTGAGCTGCCGCTAATGTGGGTGTCATCGCCCAGAACATATCGCTGACTTGAAGAAAGTCGACATGGTTGCCAGTACAAGTTAGGAATAAGCCGGTCGCGAAGCAGGCAAGAGGGTTGGATGGAGCGACGGAGTTGAGTAGTGTAATGCCGTGGGCGTTAGGAAGCTGCTTGCCTGGCGGACACCTTCGAGGTATATAGCCGGGATCGTACCCCTTTCCAGCAAGAGGCTGAAGTAGGCCCTGAAGGGAGACTCCGGCTGCACGAAGTGAGGCCATGTGATGAAGTCGTCCATCACTATTGCGTTTACGTCACTTGCTTCGACCAAGTGGCGGAGGGTCTCGATGGGAGTCTGGGATACGGGCAGGTAGTTGATGAGGACGAAAATTGGGTTTGGCAATTGTATTGCAAGGTACATCTCGGTTGGAGGGGTTGCGGGGAAAGCCATGTTTTTAACAAAGGAGGTTTAGAAATAATCTTGCAGTTGATGAATGAAGGAGGTTTTAGAAGAATGTGAGCAAATAAATTAGTGTGTGTGATATCGTTTAAATAGAGGGAAAATATTGAGTTCATGTATATGGCTACATTTGGGGGGGGAACGCATTAAAAAAGTGTCATTATTTTAAAGTTCCTCTTATCTGACAAATGCCAGTGTACATTAATTGCAAACCGTGTACGTATATTAAGGAGATTTATGCGAAAAGATAGAGGTCATTTCTATGAATAGAGCTTGACAGTATGCAATAAATAACCACTCCAAAACTTGTAGATATGGGTTATTACAGGTCAAATCAATCAGCATTGCATCATCATTTACTACCATCTCGAAAGTCGCTTCTCATATTTCTAGTTTCAAACCAACTAAAATAATTGTACACAGTAACGTCTACCCGTGTACGTATGTCTACCCTTATTACGTTCTCTGACCAAAAGTTTGAGTTGATGTCTGTCGCCGAATTAGGGAGAAAAGATTGAGTTCATGTATATGGCTAAATATGGGGGAAACGCATTAAAAACCAAATATCTTTCTTTTGCAATTTTGTTTTATCTGACAAAAGACAGTGTACATATATGGAGATATATATTTTTTTTTTTTAAAGATAGAGGTCATTATCAATGGCTAAATCAGGTCAGTATGTATTTAATGATAATTCGTAAGCCTGTGTAGACAAGACACCATTATCTAACATTAAAAAACTTGTTTCTCAATTTACTATAAAATATTACAATTATTTGTTACCATTCATAAGATTGAGTATTATATGAGAAACAAGCAAGGATGTAGATAAAAAGACATGTATACTGATAAGCAAAGTACAATTGCAAAAGCCACATATTATAACATAAAAACTTAGAAATTCAGATAATATTACGTAAGAAATGCCTAGAGAATTTGACTAATTCTTCTCGCACACCACCAGAGGTAACATACGTTGCACACATTCTTGAAGGGTCCAGATCTGATGTAACACAACATCGCGCAAGGAGGCGTTTGAATACCACGTTCCTCAGGGTACGAAAAGGTTGCGCCGTATGTGTTGTTTAACCTAATTCCATATTTTTTTATTTCTTCTAGGAGTTCCTCACACATGTCACGTGTTTCTTCTGATTCCAAAGCGTAATGGTTGTTTGCGAACAGGCGTAGGTACACACCACCCATGTGAGCATTCCCGTCGCATATGCACAGAATAGCGCAGGCCAGGGTTGCATCGGCGTGCCTTGGTACATTCCGCTGTAAAAGTACAATGGCGCCCTTAATGTCAGACTCATGGGTAACTAGACGCAGTCCTTCATGGTAGATAGCAATCGGGTTACCAGCCTCTAGACAACTTTTGAAAAAGGGTCTATATCGACCTTCACCGTTGATGTCATTCGGATCATGGCCTGCCGCATGGAAGTCATCGGGATCACTGCACATGCTATAAATATTAGCATCTTTCAGGACATCCGGCCTGTAGACAATGTTTCTTCCACCACGCCCTGATCTTAACAGAGGTCCGAGGTACCACCAACATTTGTCAGCAATTTTTTTGGCTATCTTGGCTAGCAAATCTTCAGGTAGATTTGGTGTAGACATTTCTTGGAATTTGGTGTTTCAAAACAATTCAATTCCTACTCTTAAATAAAGAACAATGAAGTTAGTTGGTTAAGTTATGGTTGTAGTTAATGCAATCTTACGTAAGTGATGATGCAGTGAGGGAGGGTTGTCAAATCAATGTAAGTAAAGAAATAGATATCTTATTATGAGAAAAATCGACTTTTGTGTAAAAGACGTACGTTATATAAGATGTACGTACACATGTTGGTTTTTGAATAAGTGTACGATGTGCAGATTGTTTAGAGAAGATAGTTATAACGATTACATAAATATTTTTAGGATCTCCATAATTAATTACGTTGTTCTAATTAGGTTGTTGAAAATAAGGAAATAAGTACTAGGAAATAATAATAATTCAACATCCAGGGATGATTACAATAAACGCCGATTATCACACTCGCGCTTGCCGTGCTCGTAGATTTCTGTTGCGTACACCTGACGGTATGTGGCCATATCTGCTTCTTGAATATTCACCAAGTCTGACATTGGGTTACCAAACGCCAGCAACTCCAAGAACTTCATTGCGTAAGGGCCGTAATCTCCTGTACTTGGGTTTTGAGCGACCATAACATTTCTCTCATAGGCAAAAGGTTCAACTGAGTACTTCTCAGGCAATACATCCGCGCACATCGCTCTCACTAGGTACGGCATCATCTCGCAGACAGGCTGCATCTTTGACCATGCAACAGACTCCCGCGTGTGTTCTATGAGAGCGTCATAGACAACTATATGCCGGGCTCTGAGGTGGATTACCAACCCAACCCAATGATCACCTTTCCAGTTCATCGGAGCATATACCACGTCGACATCCTTGAACCACTTAAGACTAGGTTCACGGTGTATGTGTATTCCATTGGCCATGTCGTATAGCCGGTCGCCCCATTTGAACCCAAGCTTATTTATACAATTCCTGAAGCTGACAGCACGCTTAGTAAGCTCATAAAGCAGGAAGGAGTCCAAAACAACACATCGGTTTGCTATCATTTGTTGACCGTTCTTGTGCCACATCAAGATTGCGAGCATTTCCAAGACCTGAAATGATAATAGCATAGACAGTCAGTGTACGTACACTTCAGGAATATTTTAAAAATATACACAAATGTACTATTTCAACTTACCATATTATCCACCCACTGTCCTTGTGCTATAAGCATGGAGAAAAACTCGTTGTCCACTTTGCGATACCCGAAAAGAGTGTGCTTCCTGTATATCCAATATTATAGTATGACTGGTTGTTATAGAAAACCAATGTATCAATTAAGGGATAATTTTGATAATGCACGATACTAACACATTCGGACCGCGGAGGACATTGGTTAAGAGCTCTAATTTGGAAGCGTCAACCTTCTCCAAGGGGTTGTAAGGGACATTTCCAGCCGCTATAACCACCTCTGAATCTTCAGCTCGTCCAGGAACATCCTCCACGAGGACCGTTGTTTCCTTAAAACCTTCTGGAAGGGCTTCATCCATCTCAAAAATTATTTGCTTCTTCACTTTTTTGGGTAGAACCGGCGTAGGAATTTTAACTGCTATTGCTTCGAGTGCAGCATTGTTGTTTGGTTCATCCTGTAAAGAAGTATTATTGTAAACACCATGATTAAACAATTTCAAAATGTAATGATAATATTTACTGGGAAGATACTCACAATATTTTCCAGTGTACCAACTGTCGTGTCTGCTTCATCTAACCCAGGGTTTGAATCCTCTTGTTCTTCCACCTCGTCGACAATCCCCTGCTGCTCCAACACTCCCTTTTCAAATTAACGTGCAGAATTATTTAAATGTACGCATACAATCCTATGTACGTATGTTAATAACTGTGTATAATTTTAAACCAAACACGAGATTTTTACCTCCTTTACATTAGCTGCATCCACATCCATGGAGGCTTTCGTTGCCAACTCCTGTAACACCTGCATAATAGAAGATTATAAATTTAAACAAGCCTACACTATTTTATTTAAAAATATAGTTAGCTTACATTATTAACTACTGCAAATGGTGAAGGGGGATCCCCTAGGGTGCCCTCAAGTACTGAGTCATCCACTTTACTCTCTGGAACTACATTGGGTACATCTCCCGCATCAACCTGTGGCAGTAGTTATCAACTTCATCGGCTATATCCTCTATTTTGTGATGTCTGAAACAATCATTACTTATACGTACACGGGAAATAAGAAAGACAATTGTACGTACACTTACACCGGGTTCCTCGGTGTGTTCAGCCTGAGAAGATGTATCTCTATCATTATCCTCACAAATTTCTGGTTGCTCCCCAACCTTTGCTTCACTCTCAAGACCGGCACCATGTTCTTCGCCCTGAAACAAATATACCATACACGTCTTAAGCTTTATGTGAGTACACATATGGAAAACTACATTTGACTATTAGCAGACCATATACCTGTCCAGATGTTGCAGGTAAACCTGATGGATTTTCTACCATCTCTGTGTCAGCAGTTGGTTTTTCATCTGTCCCTGGCTGTGTACCAACTACGACAGGCTCACCACCATCAATTGGTCCTTTATCCTAAAACATAGTATACCATACACTTCTTAAGCTATATGTACGTGGAGAACTGAAAATAATTGAGACGCGTACACTTATGGAAAACAGTATGTGACTATTAGCACAAGACATACCTGTACAGAGGTTGAAGGTACAGGAGATAGAATTTCTTCCATCTCTGTGTCAGCACTAGCTTTTTCCTCGGTCCCTGACTGTGTAACAACAAGGACAGACTCACCACCATCACGTGCTCCTTCATCCTGAAACATAGTATACCATACACTTCTGAAGCCTATGTGTACGTACACAACTGGAAATAATTGATAAAAATATTTGTACACGACATACCTGATGGGAAGGTGTAGGTCCACCAACTGAAATGTTAGCTACTCCAGTGTCAACCATATCTTCGTCTCTATTCGAAAAATCTCCTCCATCATTTGCAGTAAAACCACCTTCATTGTTGGCTTCATCCTGTACCATAGCAGACAAGTTACAGTTATTAATCTTCATGTACGTACATTTAAAATACTATATATAAATGTACGTACATGCCATACCTGGTCATCTTCCTCAGAGGAAGAGTTACCATCAGAAAGCTGAGTAATCTCCGCAACTGACGTCATTATATTCTTCAGCCTTGAAGACTTTCTTGTTCCAGACTTGAAGACTTTCTTTGTAGACATCCTTTTAGATGCCTTCTTCACACTCATCGGTGCCTTAACCACCGATTTATTTGGGCCCTGTGAAGCATTGGAAGTTTTGGTTGGTTCTGTCTTTTTGCCCTTTGGATCTAAGGCAGCACGTATCTCCTTACGGACAAATTTCTTCAAGTCTTCTTGCATTTGTTTATTTTGTGCTTCTTGCCTCTTGAAACACCTCCTAAGTTCAACTACAAACTTCTCAAACTAGGGATCTTCAGAACAATCCTCAACAGTGTCCTCATTTTTTTCTTCCACAACAGATTTCTGTTTTTTCAAAGCAGGTGCATTCGGGGCTGGTACATTTCTTTTCCTCTTCTTCACACCTACGATAGACCAGTTTAATCATTGATTGGTCTTCAAGAGACAATAATCATAAAGTATAAAAACAACATTTACACTCACGTATCTCTCCAAGTTGTGGTGGGCGCTCCTGCTTTGGAAATGCAGCATAACCTCCAACCCATTCTTCCTCCTTCCACTCATGACCAGCTAACAACAGTCGCTCAATGTAAGTAACTCTTGGATCCTCAACTTCATCATCCCATGACAGGGATGGAGGACAAATATTGTCCTCTGGTTTCACAAGATAGGTTACCTCAACCTACACCAATAAGTTTGTTAACCACTTAGAGAATGTACACTTACTTTTTAAATAATGTACGTACATAAACAATTGTACATACCTCTTTAGCAGCCTCACACTCCAAGATGCTGGATGTCCTGATTGCCCGCAGTGAGGCAAGATGATGGATAGACCTCTGAGTAAATGTCCTGTTAGCTTCATCATCAGGTACTAGCTTAGCAAGGGATGGGATTGTTTCGAACGCAAACAGCTGGAGTGCTAATGGGAATCCATGTAGTGCATAAGACCCATCCTTTACACACCTTATCAGTTTTTGAGCATCTGAAGGGGTTTGGAATTTTGATATCCTCTCCAAAGTACGGGTAAAAGACACCCTTCCCCAAGGGTATTTGCAGAAGAATTGCACGTTCTTCGTCATCTCAACAATGAACTCAGAAGGCCTTATGGGGTTATTATGGCACCCTATCACACCATCTACCAAGATTATAAGAGATAAGGCCAGCTGCTTCCACCCATCCATGGTTTCCTCCTCCTTCAGCTAGACCACCAAATCATGCACTGTTGGATTCGGCTTCTCCCCAAACTTCTCCTCAAACAGAGTTTTCCAGACACTTTGACTCCCAGCTTTGACCTTTAGCACATCCGTCACGTCTTTCTTGTTGGGATATGTCCCACATTCTAGACTAGTTACCAGACTAAATTCTCTTAATCCGAATTTTATTGGATGACCGCCGAAGACCATCCACATCTCATTCACTTTACTCGTCACTAACTGACGACATATTAGTCCAAGAACAAGCTTACCTGAGAAGGAAGACTTGTTAGCAGGTATCCTAAAAAGGTCCCCAAATGGAGACTCGAGAAGAAACTTCATCTCCTCTTTTCCCTTAAGAACTTGCGCTATGTCAGAAAGGTACTCCGGTTTGGAGTACGCGTTCATCTTCGTCTTCACAGGGTACCGGTCTAGGGCAAAGAGTCTAGGTGGTAACTCTTCAACTATAAGATCTTCAGTCGGAGCCACGCTTGTACTGCCTGCAATTACAAGTAATATACAATTAAGTAAGGATGTAAACAATACAAATTCGTGTACGTACACAGTAATTATCAACATTATATACTCAACATCTGAATTTTGGCGGAAAAAGAGATTTCCAATTCATCTTCTCAAATTTTCAAACTACATATTTAGCAAAATCCGGCAACTTCTATCCCTTTAATCAAACAAGCTTTAAGATTCCGATACACCCAAAGAAACTACAAACGAAATAATATCAGAACTTACCCAATTCCTCCGGCGGCTTTGTCGGAGAGAGTTTCCTCCTCGGGGATACTCTGAGTACCCGCTTCTCCTTCTCGGGGCCTTCCCGCGTATGCTGCTTCCTCGGTACTTCGTCGTTTTGTTTATTCCCAGCCATCTCGAAGGTTTCTATCTCGCCGGAGGTTTCTCAGGTCGTCTTCGCCGGAAAAACTTCAACTTTCTATTCGCCGGTTTTTGGAGTTCAATGCGATGCCTCAAATCAAGTATCCAACAATTCGAACGGTGATGTTGAAAAACGAAGATGGATGAATGAATTTCGAACTGATTTCAACTTCTCTCTCGAATCTCTCCGTCTCTCTCTCCTTCTTCTTCTTCGTTTTCTTTGACAGTTTTTTTTTTTTTTTTTCTTAAACCGCAACAAAAATCAAAAGAAACTAAACCGGTCAGTAACTGTGCGGTTTGGTTTAATTTGTTTGGGGCATTTTCGTCAAAAAATGTTATAACTGTCAAAACATGAGAATGAAATCTCACTTTGCCAAACTGTGAGACAAAATCTTTTTTCCAACCCAAACGTGAAAATTTCTTTTGTTTTATTGTCTCATGGATAATGGTCCGGTCATCTTTGGCCATATATATGAATGTGTCTTATAGTATCCGATGTTACTGTTTCGGCTTACGTCATAGAAATGACGTCATATCACTACAAAAAAAGAGGTGTTTTGTGTCATTTATTTTGTATATTTACATTACTTATAAATGATGCAAATAAGTTTTGCATCACTTATAAAAGTGACTCTGAAAGTGGTGATGCAAATATTTTGAATCGGTTGCATCAAATATTTGCATCGATTATTATAATTGATGTTGTTTTGTATCATTTGCAAGAGACGATGTTAAATTTGCATCGGTTAATAAAAATGATGTAATTATTTGTTACGGTTATAGTAAGTGATGTTAAGATTAATATCATTTTTGATAACTGATACAAATAATTGTATCATTTGTAATAATCGATGTTAAATATTTCTATCAATTATAAATAATTGATGTTAAATTTAATATCAGTTTTCATGAACAAATATAGCAATGATATCATTTTCAATAAAATAATAATATATAAAATTAATATTAATAAAATAAAATTAAAAACAAAAACTTAATTTCATGGAAGAAAACACGTTTACACGTTTACAACTTTACATTGTTGAAAATTCAAAAACAAACTCTAAAACCATAAACTACTTTTGTTCCTTAATTAATTCTCAGAAATATCAATCTCGATCACATCCTTGAATTCATGCTGAAAAATCTTTTGGGTCTTTTTCATCAATGGTGCATCCCATGCATCTCTAAATCTTCTTCACGATCCTCACGGTCAGATCCTCATGGGCCTCATAATCCTAGCAACCTCAGTAACATCATCGTCCGTGTGCTTTATTTTCTTAACCGTCTTTCTGTTTCTTTCCGGGTCCTTCAACGCCTTGATGATAAAAGACTGGATCAAAACAGCACAAAATAAGTATGGAGATCAGCATAAAATCAAAGAGATAACAAAATAGAACTTCTAATTAATCTTTGAAAAGACACATATTTCTAAAGCCACAAACTCTTGTGGTCGTAGATTTATTCTATGAGTAGCTTTTAGCCTTTTACTTTTGTAAATTGAATGACCCAAACAAAATTTAGAACATTAAGTGACCTACAGTTTTGCGAAGAAGACGAGCCACCAAACCTCTGCTTCTTAAAGTAATCATCTTGGCGAGAAGAAGTTATTAACAAAAAAAATATATATCTTAGATATTTGTATTTGGCAAAGAAAGTGTAGATTTTGTAGATTAAAGAAGTTAAGATTCCGGAGAGATTTGTATTTTGATTTACTTAGTTTTGGTGAAAAGGAAAATAGATATTTTATTTCCAACTAAGATTTTAAACTGAGGAAACAAAAAAAGAGGCGGCCAATGAAAAAATTCAAAAAGAAAAGAGAATTTTTTTTTATGATCGTCTAAATTTTGTTTTGTGTAATTAAAGATTTAGTAATAAATAGAGGATGCATGATCAGTGGATGTTAAACCACAAAATTAGTTTTAACGTAATTAGTGTAAACTTATTAAAAATTATATCATTTTTCAAGTGATGTTAATATAAATTAAGAAATACATCGATTGTTTAAATGATGTGAATTTATAAATTTGTATCAATATGTAAAAATGATACAAATTGATCTAGATTTGTATCAATTTTAATGAATTGATGCCACATAAATTAACAATAGCATCAGTTACAACAATTGATGTTAAATTATATTTTTTGTATCAATTATTAATAAGTAACTCAAATTAGTATCGTTTAACTTTTTGATGCAATTTAAGTGATGCAACCTAGCCTTTTTTTTGTAGTGTATGTTAACCAAGTGGGAGTCTGGGAGAGATACATACAAGAAACATTAAAAGACTTTCTATTCTTCGTGACTATTTTTTTTTAATAATTGATTATATAATTTTAATTTTGTAAATAGCATCTAATTATTGTTGTATAATTACATTATGATTAAAAATTTTTGAATAAACTATAAGAGCATACACAATGGCACATGTGTGAATGTGGGTGTGAATAATTTTTTATTATTATAATTAAAGAGAGAGAGAAAAGAGAGAGAGATAGAGAGAGATAGAGAGAGTGCAATATTTCTCTTTATTTTAATACTCACACCCAAGTGTAAACTTACACCCAACATACAATTTCTACACAACTTTTCTATTTTTTCTCATTTTTATATTACTCACACCCAACCAAAGATTGTACCATTGTGTATGGTCTAAGGTATTTGATAACCAAAAATTAAAGAAACACTAGAAGACTCACTTTGCCGCCATTCATTTTTTTTTTATATAATTAATATGTCATATTTGCCTAATTTTACCAATATCAATCAAGAAGCAGCTTTAATTATTGCATAACAGCTGCAAGAAGCAAGTCATGATAACCATGGAATTATTGGTCTCAAGGACTTTTCTAGTTAACAAGTCAAGATAGATTTGTTTTTTTCCTCCATGGATTTACGATTTTTTCTTTTTACTTTTTTGTTTTTTTTTTTGATAAATTATTAAGGAAGGCTTCACGTTGCTATCTTTTTATTTTCCACTCTTCATGTTGCTATCTTGTCGATAAATATGTCTGATATTTTTCCATATGTTACTAGTTTTCTTAAATGTGAAATATAAATAAATAAATAAATATATATATATATATATATATATATATATATATATTTATAAATCAAACATAAACAAGACGGTAGGAAATATATACATGCATGAAAAACTATTTTCAATACATTTCACTTTAAAACTGTCTTTCGTTTTTTTATTTATAATCGCCTATATCTCTTCTCGCAAAAACACAAATGATACGATAGATTTAATCATGTGGTTTCCAAATGGGGTTTTGAATATGTCCACATGCAATATCAATACATATTTTAGTAGTAGAGTTAGAAAGTTTTATAACACAATAATGGATAGGCATATGGATAATCCGTTCAGGTTCGGGTTGAATGGGTAATGAATTTATGGCCCATTTGACTATTTCTAAATATCCGGTTTTGGTCTAGTTCGGATATCATCGGGTTCGAGTCGGTTTGGGAAAAAAGCATGAGAACCGAAAAAAACTCGAAAAATTTGGGTCTCCTTTGGGTTCGGGTCTAAATAGATAAAATTACGCATAAACCCGAAATATGACTCCAATACCCGAAGTTTTAAATCATTGTACATGCTCAATAATCAAATAAAGAGAACAGAACATCAAATATGACATCTAAAGACTAAATCCAATATAAAATCACAAAGATGACTACTTAAGTCTTAAGTGTTAAGAGTAAATCCAATCCAAAATCACATGACATCGAAATGTTCGGTGACGGTAAGGTCGCCGAGAATGTCGCGATGAGGGTTTCCAGTTTCGATAATGAGACTCAAAAGGGAATTTTAAGCAGAAATTATCAAAGGTATAGGGATTCTAGAAGAAAATTAGGAAACTCAATCGTCAAAACTCAAAATCTAGGGCTATATGACTATATAACTATATATCTATATACATATATAAACACATGTCTAAAAACTTTGGGTTTATGGGTATCCTAAATGGGTAACGGATATTCTCCGACCCGAACCGATACCCACGGGTAGACCAAAACTCTACCCAATGAGGTAATTTCCTAATACCCTAACCCGCCCCAACTCGGTTTTTTTTATCTGGGTATCGATTCGGGTATCGGGTCCGGTTTTTTTTGCCCAGGTCTAATAATGGAGACAAAAAAATGAGTAAAGAAAGAAAGGCCCCACTTTTAAGAACTTACATTTTTATGGGTTTGAAAATACTCACCTTGTGAGAAGAATAAAAATAACTACAAACATTAAAGAACGTAACAGGTATGATATATTTTGTCCCGTTCTAAAAATCCCGGCCTAACCCGATTACTCCCCACTTAATCGCTAGGCCCATCATATCCGTCTCGATTAATGACTAATTCCCTAAAGAAATCAGTTACCCGATTAGTCTCCGCCTAATCCAGTTACTTTCCGCCTAATCCAATTACTTCCCGCCTAATCCGATTACTCTCCTCCTAATTTTACAAACCCCGATTATTTTTAGATTGCAAGTATAAAAAAATATATATATATTTTTTGTTGTTCAATCATTTAAATTGGAAGTTTGTGATGTTTTACAATAACTTGTGTTCAAATTTTAATAAAAATCATAAATTAGTAATAAAAATCATAAAAATTTACCTCAAAAAATACAGTTTTATGTGTTTGATACAATTTTGAAAACAATATTGGATTAATATATTTTTAAAATATTAAAATAACCCTAAAACTAATCTTCGATTAATCCCTGATTTTAATCTGATTTTCCGATTAATCGCTAGGCCCATATCGAGCGCCCGACTAGCACCTAGCAACTTTTCAAACAAGGCATTTTGTTAAAACATATAAAAACCAAGCATGGAAAGAATTTTTAGGGTGCTCATGATTTTTAATTGTTTTCATTCTATACTCCAACACCACATAGATAATCACTTACGTATAATCTTAGGGTTAAGTATAAATTAAACAAAATTAGCAAAACTGAAGTGAGCCAAAAATTTGGCCAATTTGGTTGATACGGTGAAAAAAATCATCATGGTTTAATGCGGCCAGCGGTTCGGTTTATTTCAGAACCTAAAACTAATGAATCATTTTTATAACAGAATTTCTTTTTTTTCATGGATCTGATAAAACTAAACTATAATCATTTTAATTGACACAATTACTAGTATTATAATCACTTTAAATACTTTCATTTACATTCTATATCTTGTTGTGTAAATTACCGAATATTTTAGGCTTGTGCATTCAGTTTTCTTTTGTATGTGTCATGTCAAACTGAGTTAGAACTATAGTTGAATCTTATTTAGGATCAGAATTTATTCAAGTTTTCGGAAGAATCTCCTAACTGAAGATTTACCTAAAAGAATCTCCTAAGTTGTGAAACCTTCTCCAAAGATGGTTTCTAGCAAGAGAAATTCGGTCACTGCTGCTCATGTTGGCTCTTTTACTTTGGTTTTAATTTCATGTACATAATCACATTTTAATTCTATCAATAAATTTAATATTTAATAATAAATAAATAAATAGGTTCTTAAAGCATTTTAAGAAAAGTGGGGGGCTTATTTTGGGGAAAATGGTATTTTTAATACCAACAAATTGCGCGATCCGTTTTTATACCTTAACAGAGACTCAGTGATGTTTCCTACGTCGACTCCTGAAAAATTCAAAAACATTATGCAAACTCTTTATTTTGTGCCTAAAACAAAGTTGACATGAATATGAGTTAGTCAACCGCTTGATCATTTGAGTCCTTAAACTCAAACCGACATTGTTTTGAGTCGTCTTAATACTAAACATATTAATGATTTTTCTAATTAAAAAATGTAAAATCTATCCTAGTTCATAGCATGAAAAATCCTAAATATATTTCTCCTGTCATATGTGCTTGGATAGATTCTCAAAAAAAAAATCTTAATATTACACAAGTGAGTGGTTATCTAAATCTATGTTCACAAAATATGGAGCATCCCTTCTCGTGAAATCTGCTAATTTGAAGAACTTCGTTTAGAAAGATCAGAGTCTTAATCATAAAATCAGAAAAGTTTTTAAAACCAAATTCAACTAGAAGAGAGAAATGGACGTTTGATAGAAAGATGTAATTTCGGAGATGGTGATGAAATATAATAATTTTGTTTGTTTTGTAAAAATATCTGTTAAGACTTAAGATCTAATATTTTCACATTTTTAATTATAAAAATCTTTATTAATTATAGTTTAGCTTTAAAACGATTCCTGGTACGTTTGTGCCATGTCTTTTTATCGAGGGACTGGATAGTCCGAATTTCACACGTGTATAGGGAGGCTAACCGTCTTGCGGACGGGTTAGCGAACTATGCGTTCTCTTTGCCGGTTGGCTTTCATTTTTTCGATGTTGTGCCTATTGTAGTGGATTCTTTGTTTAGTGACGATGTCATAGGGTCTACGCGCCCACGACAAGTCCGTTTGTAATTTTTCCTTTTAATTTTTAATAAACGGGGGACTAGTCCCCCATCTCCTACCAAAAAAAAAAAACAACATCGTTTTATTTAAAAAATAACACGTCATTGCCAACGTAACGTGTCAGCTGAGTCAGTAGTTGACTAACTCGTATTTAAGTCAACTTTGTTGTACATACAAATTAAAGAGTCTAGGTAATTTTTTTGAATATTTTAGACGTTGATCTAGGAAACAACAGTTAGGTATAAAAACGCACCGCACAATTTGTTGTAGTTGAAAAACAATCTTTACCCGTTGAATTTCTTTACTCATTTTAAAGTATATTTTTTATATTTACTTGAAAATATTCATTGTCAATAAATTTTTATCAGGATTTATCAGAAAATTTGGGTTTGGTTTCGGTTTGTTGAGTAAAAAAGTTCAGATGATATTAAAAATTTCAGTCAAGGTTTGGGATAATGAGTATTTCTTCTCTAAAAGTTTAGGCTGAAAAATTATTTTTGTGGACTTTGGTTCAGATTATGTA